CCCCACTGCAGAAAAAATACGTGTTTTTCTGAAAAAAAAAGAATTTTAAGGTTTTTTCTAAAAAGTAAACATTTTAATAGATTTTTAAAATATTTTAATAATTCTTATAGAAAAATCAAATCTCTAATAGCACAAAGTAAGAAACAGACTGACTGATACACATGAAGAAGGCTTTATTAAAAAAATTTTAATATGAAAAATTTTACAAAAAAAAAAAACTTTATCAACAGTTACTTATTGTTCTTCTGTCCATGTTATTTTATCGTTGGGATTATAATAACCATAACCATCATCTAGTGACTCATCACTACTTGATATTGAACCATTATCATCAGTAACATGGTCGTCACTATCAGTTGTCGCATCATTATCCTCAGTTGTTGCTCCTGTTACAGGATTTGTATCATTATTATCATCATCTATTTGATCAGCACCGTCAATTATTGCATCATTGTCCTCTTCTTCATCATCATCTTGAATCAAAACACGACCAGCTTCTTTTCTTCTTTTTCTGTTGTTTTCTTTTGATTCTGTATGCAGTCGATTGTTATCAAAATGAACCAGTGCTTGATCAGTATAATAACCACGATTACCACACATGACATTGAAAGTATCTCCTGTGAAAATATAAAACAAATATTTATGTCAAAACAATATCAAAAACTTCAATTATGATTTAAAAAAACGCTTGTGAAATTATTTGTGTTATTATACTTAATGCAAAATATCCATCGTTAAATATCATTATTGCAAGACAACATGCACTTTCGAAAGTGTGGGTGTGGGTGTGGGTGCATCGGTGTTAGAAAACAGAGCATACACATCCAAACACCCACACCCCACCCCACACCCACCCACACCCACACCCAAGCGACATAAATGAAGAAATTTAATTGTGCCAAAAAAACAACAAAAGCCATTGAAATATTTAAGAAGATCATTAAGATAAACTGATTCTTATAAATTGATATAAATATCACCTTGACTTTCTCGAAATAATTTTCCAATTCTTTTGGCAATTTTATTTCATTTGGTGTTAAACGATTTGGACGAATAGTTGAAACTTCGACTGATGAATGAAGATATTCTTCATCTTGATTGAGAACAAGTTGATTTTCATCTATATATTC